GACTCAAAAAAACTCCTCAGAGGTTCTTACTAACTACAAAGGGATAAAAAAAAAGTAGCTTGACAGTGGAGAAACGTAAAACTCGTCAAATTTTCCAGGTGAGCAAGATAAACGTCACTGGCACTAAGACGTGTCAACGCGATGAACACCCTGACATGGTGCGCTCGGGACACAACCCCGTGCTTCCGGATCTCTTGCCCAAAATGCATGATCTCCCTCCAATTAGGAGGCTACATCAGACGAATCCAGATTAACGGACATTCTATAAAATAATGGGTCAGTACTCTTCAAAATGTCAAGGACATGAAACACAAAGGAAAACCAGGAACTTTTACAGACTGAAGGAGGCTGAGAAGAAATAGTAACCAAATACGATGTGAAACCCTGTAGGTATAATCCCAGAACAAACAGAGGACACTTGTGGGGAAATGAATAAAATTCAAATAAGGTTTGTTATTTAATTCAATAAGCTGTCCCGAAGGTAGTTTTTCATTCTTCATGTCTACACTATGGTTGTGGAAGATGTTAAGATTAGGAGAAGTGGAGTGAGAGACATAAGGGAACTCTTTGTACTATGTTTGCAAGTTTTCTGTAAGCCTAAAATTCATTCAGAATAAGAGATTTTAAAAAATAAATAAATGCTTAGAACATGAAAAACGAAGAAAAGAAAATGTCAGATATTTCTGAGGCCCTGCTATAAGCCAGATACTGTTCTAGACTCAGTCACGAATGCTGCAGCCAAATCCCGCACTGTCTGGTTTATACTCCTTCTGCAGACATAGTGCACATCAAGCAAATAAAGAGGAAAAGAGGGGTTATTAAACCCAAATCGAAAGAAGCAATGAGTAGAAATTTAATAAATATTCATGGTGGCTGATTGAAAGAGCCCGTTTTGCTGTTTTACCAATAGGGTTCAAGGTAAGATTTACACATTAAACACCATTCATTCGCCAAGCCCTCCGCTCCTTCCTGTGACCATGCCTGCCATCTAGTGATGAGATGGGGAACTGCAGCAATACATCTCTAGCCTAGAAGTTAGTGTCAGTTCACTCAAACGCTTTAGGGATTATAGCATTTTAAGAGGATCTGTGTCAGACGCTGTGGTAGAACCCAAGTCTCTAAACTGCCAATATAACCCTTCCTCCAGCGTCCACAAATGTACTGAGTAGCATTACAGTGCAGAGGATGGAACACAGACTCTGCAGCCGAGCTGCTTGGCCCCTTCGTGGAGTTTTTGGTGATGTCCAAAGAGAGTGAGCAGATTCCACGCTGAGCCAAACACGAGGGAGGAAAGAGCAGGGAATCCCAGAGAAGACTTGGGGACCTAGGGAAGTGAGGAGTGTGATTCTAAAGGACCCGCGTTAATCAGTGAGATCGAATCCAGAAAGAGACCGTTAGTTCTATGTCGTCTGGGAAATGCAGGCTGTACAAGGACATACAGTGATTGAATAAACAGAAAGCAGTATTTAAAAAAAAAATAAATCGCTAGGTTGTGCATAGAACCTGGAAACCCTGCCAAATCCCAGTCCAGTAAATGTCAGTCAACAGCTTTATTACTTCCTAACAAAGGGGCTTTTCAGCACTGATGGTCAAAGACGTTTGGGGGCCACACTGGGGAGTTCTTGGCGTAGTCGTATCAGAGCTGTTGTCGGCGAATCTGACTCACTCCGCGTTACTGGACAATTCCATCACGCAGTGAAGCATCCTGATGGCGCCCTTCACTGTCACACCTAACTTGTCAGAGATGCTGCCTACATACAACCAAAATAAACCACAAGCAGGCCTTTTCTCCCTGCCTCTAAAGGGCTCTAGGCCTGCCAAGGTGATGTTAACGTGGAAAATGCTCCTTTGTGATTTATTTCATGGGATTTATGATGCATCTTTCCCATCGTAAGGATGGCTTCTTGGAAGCCCATGTGACCTTTCTAGAAGGCCAATCAGATCGAGTCAGTATCCTGAGAAGAGAGCCCTCCCTCCCTGAAATGGCCTAGGGGGCTCCCCACTGAGAGGACCCCACCCATCACCCCATCCTCATCACTTGTCCTTGCCCATAACAGTCTTATCACAGCACCCAGCACCCAGTTGTTGTTCCTGTTCTAAAGTCCGTTGTCTCTGCTAAAATACACGCTTATGAGGACAAACGCTGTGGCTCTTTGTTACTCACTACGTATCTATGGCTTAACGTGGTGCTTTGGAACCTAATGGGCGCTCAAGAAATATTTCTTCAAGAAATGAACCAGGGTAGCAACAAATAATGAAATGGCAAGAACGCTTTAAAGGCATTCACTCTGGGGCAGCAGGTTTGGTGTTGGCTGGAGGGATATGTGCCTTCGGGGGTGTGGTGGGGGCTGGGTTGGGTGTCTCATTGAACTCTACTTCCACTGTTGACACAAAGAAAGCACAGGAGCCCCCAGTGGAAAGAAGTAAAAAAGGAGAAGCTTCTCACCAGAGGGTCCCAGAGGAAGAAGATGGGTGGCATTCTCAGGAAGAGAATCCGAGGACCACGGAGACACCAGAGCAAAGGTCGGGGGATGATAACGTACCATGGGGTTATTGTTGCCAGGAGAACCGGGGCCTCCTATGAGCAGCCCTTTCTCTGCCGTCTTCGGTAACTCAACACCAACGGACAGGATGACCTCAGACCGTGGAGTAATATCCAATAGCGTTAAGGTAGGGAAACCTCGTAACTTATCGTTGAAACCAGAGCACTTCTGAGAGTGAAATGGGAGGCTTAATGCCAAGGACCGCAGAAGTCAGGTGGAACTGAGCCAGTCACACCAGGATTAGCGTCTTCCCCTTCACCCGGACACGTCAAAGGACGGCACGTGGGGAAGGAGCCTGATCCTGCAAATGAGGGAGTTTGAAGGGGAGTTTTCCCCAAGAGTGGTCTCCATTAAGTCTTTGCTTCCAGAGGGGAGGGGACGGCTCAGTGGTAGAGCGCATGCTTAGCATACATGAGGTCCTGGGTTCAATCCTCAATACCACCATTAAAAAAAAATCTTTGTTTCTGCCATTCCATTCTGCTCCTGACATTTTCTGAGACCCAAAAAAAGAAGTGACAGATCTGGAAGTAAAGGGAGAAAACTAGATTTATCAGTAAATATGCAAACAAATCTCTCACTGTACCACTGCCCAAGCGGTAGTTTTTTTCTTTTTTTCACTTTGTCTTTTAAATTTGCAGCAATTGAACACAGAAGAACCACCCTGCACAGAGAAACTCTGTAAAAGTTGACCTTCTACGCCCCACTGATGCACCGTGACTCAGAACTTGATTTAAATGCTATTTGCTGCCCATGGGGGCGACGGGCTTCCCTGCGCAGCAAGGTGTGGGTGTGAACGCCGTTGGGAAAGCTGCAATTTTGTCTGAGTCACGGTGACCGCGTGTGTGCCAAACACCCACCGACCTGGAGGCTCAGTGCTCTTGCAGCAAGCGGGGAAGGAGTGCTGATAAACACAGGCGAACGTGGCTTAGTCTCAGGACTAAAAACAATAGAAACAAAGACAAAATACTATCAGAGAACACTGGAGGAAAAAGTAAAGTCTTTTTGGTTTTTTGAAATCCAGGTAAATGTGTCTTCCTTCCTTGCTCCCCTACTTCCTTTTCTCTTAACTAATAGTCTTTAGCTTTTAATTAATAGTCAGTAGATTTCTGAAGTAGATTTAGGTTTACTGAAAAGTTGAGCAGGAAGTACAGACTTCCCATGTGCCCTCTCCACGCCTCCCCCAGTTTCCCCGACTAATGACATCTAAAGCTAGTGTGACACACTCGTGACAATTGACGAGCCTACATTATCATAATTACTATTGTAATAGTATAATAGTAATAGTTAATTCAGTCGGTTGTTACTTAAATACTTTATTATTAACTAAATCCCATCAGATTCACTCTTTGTGATGTTAACCCTCTGTGCTTAGACAAGCGTATCATGATGTGTGTCGCCCATTACAGTATCAGACAGAACAGTGTCACAGCTCTAGGTGGTGGACACCGAGGTTATTTCCCTGCCTTGGCTGCTGGGAATCATGTCGCAGTGAACATGGTGGGGGAGGGCAGATATGTCTTCCCCACACTGATTTCGTTTCCTTTGGATGTGTACCCAGAAGTGGGGTTGGTGGATCATATGGTAATTCTGTTTTTAATTTTTTTTGAGAAACCTCTGTACGGCTGTCGATAATGGCTGAACCAGTTTCCATTCCCACCAACAGGGTCCAAGGGCTCCCTTCACCAAGCCCTGTTATCTCTGGTCTTCTTGATGGCACCAGCCGCCGCGGGGAAGGGGCCAGCATTCACTGCACAGACTTCACTCACTGTCTTCCCGGGGTGTTTAAAGTGAACAGCAGATGCCAAGAAACAGCTCATTTTTTACCCCCGGCATTGTTGCTCCGTGTCTCTTGCTGTTCCACAACGAAACCTGCTGGATTATCCTGTGAACGAAGCCAACGTGGCTTCTTGGCTTTATGCCGTGTGACAAGCGGGCTCGGGGAAGGATCCTTAGAAGCAAGACTGCCATTCCAAGGCCACGAGCCATTTCATGTGTTATTTTAAGGAGATATTGTGCAGTCTTCTACTTCCCTGAAATCGTTGCTTGCTTGTATTTTATTATTAAAGAATAAAGTAAGCCCATCCTTCAGTGCCCCACTGGAAAGGAAAAGCCGTCATTGGATGCCCCCCCACCCCAGCTGTACAAGGACTCTGCCCGTCACCGCCTCTGCCCCGAAGGGGAGAGACGGGAGACTGGAGCAGCTGGTCTGTGCTCAGACCTTGGAGGGAGGCCAGGAAGAAAGAGGGCCCTGGGAAGGCAGTCATGGATTATGACCCCTGTCACCAGATTATTACTTCATGTTATCTTGAGTAGAAATTAAGGAGGCTTTCTTTAAAAAAAATTTTTTTAGTAAAACTTTTCTGATTGATTACTGGTTTCTGCTGTTGTGAAATTTTACGCATTGCATTTTTGAGAGAGAGGAGGGAGGGAGGGAAGGAAGAAGAGGAAGAAAAACCTATTAATTCAACTTAAAGCCCCAAAAGATTTTGGCCAGAGATTCCACTAAAATGCTCACTGAGTAGACGTTCCCTTGTCCACAGTCTCCTTTCGTTAAGTAGTTAATTGCTGCCGAGTATGGAAAACCCTCAAAGTACTGAAGGCATTCCACGTATTTATTAGAATTCACAGTGTTAGATGTATACACGCAGGGAAAATAACAGATTTTAAAACCCAACCAAAATTGAAGCCCTTCATTTGGTTTTCAGAAGGTAAAGTGGTAACTGATTCAAGAGCTCACTGATTTATCCAAGTCAAGAAAAGCTCATTGTTTAAGACTTTTCTCACTGACTTGCTCAGCCAGACAACACTTAAATGAGGCCCCAAAGAAAAGAGAGCAAAGGAGGCTTTTTTGGAAACATCCCTTCTTCTGGGATTAGCATCAATTTAGGGCTTCACCAACTCATGGAGTAAGCTGGGAGAGAGCTTAGCCCCATTTTGCAGAGGAGCAAACGGAGGCACGGGGGTGTATGACGTATGAACTGCTTTCAGGAAGGGGTTTGTCCCTGCGCCTCTTCTGTGACTCTGAGCCTGGCTCAGCCCCGCTGCTCAGGGAGACGCCAGCTTGCCACAGAAGAGAATCATGTTGGTCTGGATGTGCCTTATGAAGAACAGGAAGGGGTGGTTAGCCATGAACTGAGCTCGGATGGGGAGTCTTTTCACGACCAGGACGACCCCCGTGGCCGCAGCAGCCTCCGTGCCCTCCTCGTTGACATCCACGTACGACTTGTGGATGATTTTTGATACAAAGAGGCCCTCGGCTGGTGATATTCCAGAAAGATCAGCTTTGACCTGGCTGAAGATGTCGGTCATCCCAAGAGATTTCAACAGCGAGTTGAGCTCATACTTGACGTCCAGCTTGAATCGGGGGAGGTGCACTTCAACCTCCTGCTCCACCAAGTTAGAGGGACTGGTCCACTTGGAGAACGTATTCGCGTTCAGCTGCTCTTCTACCTACGTGACAAAACACCGATGAGCCCACGTGAGCCAAATGCACACCCTCGGCATTACGTGCTATTTGTTTTAAGTGCTATTTGTTTACATCAGTGTGACTGATGAAACGTCCATTTCTTTTCTGCCTTTACAATGTGCTCAAGTCCTATCTGGAAAAAAAAAAAAAAGACTTGCATTCAGCCACATCTCCCCTCTTTTACTGTCTACTTCTCATCAATATTTCATAATTAACTTCTCAGTCGTGTATCCTAGAGTCTTTTGCCTTAATTCCCTCAGAATGTAGGTGTCCCTTTAACTCCCTCTGTTGCCTCAGCAAAAGCCACTGCGTCCGCCTTTCCTGGATGAATTAAACCGTTTCTATTGGGTTCTCCTATCTGAAACCTTCAATCACATCTCCTTTATGAACTGGGTTATCATTTGGCTTCTGTGACGCCAGGACCCCCTGTTCCACTGCTCTCGTCCCTCAGCCCCTCCTTCATTGTGTCGGAAGCTGGACTCTGAGTGTCCTTTCTGCGTCTGCTCAGCGACTCTCCCGCATCTGTGCTCCGAGTCCCCCAGGCAGCCTCCCCACTCTGCCCGCTCCTTCTACATCCAGTTTCATCAGTTTCTGTAAGTCCTTCAAACCTCTCCCCTGGAGCATTTGAAACTCTCTGGCGAGCCCTCCCCACAGCTCCAAACCGGGGAGTCAGGCTCCGTCAATCTCCTACATGAGTGGAAGGTTTTGTCACTTTCTCCCCATCCTGACGATATAAAATCAGGCACAAAGATGGTTTTCATTCCTAAGCATCTTTTCCTTATGCCCTTTTCTGCCCTCATCCAAGTTACCACGACTTCGTGTCATGCCCATCTCGCTGCCTCGCATGGCTGAGGCATTGGCATGTGCTTTTGCTCTGGTTAGAACAATGGGTCCCCTGTCCTACCTCCTTACCTTCCACTCCTCTGGGGAGGCATCGAGACTCCTCTACTAGGGAACCTCCCTGATCTCCTCATTCCAATCCGGGCCCTCTCTACTCCCATAGAACTTTCTACAGGGTCTGTCACAGCCCTTGTTACCACGTTTATGATTCGATGTTGGAACCACACGTTTGTCTGTGTTTCCAGAACGTAGCAGAGTTCTCAGCACATGGTAGACACTCAACGTTTGGTGTATGAGGAATCAAGGAACAAATAAATAAATGAATCAAAAGTTAACAAAGACCACTTCTAAACTGCTTCCAAAATGCTCTCTGCCTCCACATGCCTCCACTGCAGCCCGCAAGCCTCAGAGGCCACACTTGCACGCCTGTCCTCGTGGCCGTGGCGGTGCTGCTCTGCCCGCTAGAGGTCCCAATGCTACATCCCAGACCAGCTATTTTTCCCTGCCCCCCACCCACTTCATTTAACCTCAAGCAGGGCCTCCCTGACTGTGGCCATCCCATCCGTGTGCTGTGTCAGCCTCAGCAAGCCCCCGGGGCTCGGCTGGGGTCCCGAGAAACTGGTTGTCATTCCAGCAGAGCACTGGGACGTCCAGGCGGTGGATGCCCCATAGCAGTGTCTTGCCTGCTCCGTGATGTGCAGCTTTGGCTGCAGCCAGAGAGAGAGATTAGACCCAAACTCCGGCCACCACCATGCCCTCGTCTCCGTGGCTGTGGTGCTCCCTTCCCCGCAAAACCAGGACACTGAAAATGGTGATTAGCACATGAGAGCATGTCACATTTGGATCAGAAATACTGCTCCTGAGAAGAAGATGGTTTATCTCTGTGGACTGGGGGGGGTCCAAACAGCATTATAATTTCATTACTCTAGAAAGCTGTTTCCCACGTGTCCAATGACCGACTGATATGTGTGTATGTTGGTACAACAGGCACTTTTGCCTCCATGTGCCCTTTTTGAATGTAAGGATAGATTATTCTCCCAGAATACATGACCCTGAAGGCAGGGGCCAGGCGTCCCCCCTTTCCTCTTACAGACCCTGGCAGTACAGCTAAACCTCTACCGCGATGGAATTCGATTGACAGCACTACCGTCCTGGGCTCCACACTGTGTGTCCCCCCACACGTGCACACACGCTTTCTCTGCACGTGAGCGTTCTTGTCACCTTACCTGCTGTAGATCAGCCGTGCCCACTGGAAGCAGAATAATCATGCTTAGCGTGTTGTTAACATAGGGCAGCTCAAGGACTTGCATCTGTGGCTTTTTGATGAAGGCCAATTTGAACATTCCAGTTTGAGACATCATTTCCACAGTTACGCTTTTACCCTTTTTTTAGAAAAAAAGATTGTAATTACATGGTACAGCTCCAAATGTGCGTGCACATGTATTTACCCCTATTTTCTGACATAACACGAACATCTGTATCAATGTTCTAGGCACAGGTGACTTAGGAACTTTAAAGTGCACCCTTTATTACTTTCCTCAGCAAAGGTTAGCCTTTGTTATTTTTTTTTAATTTTTATTTATTTTGGTGGGGAGTAATCAGGTTTTTATTTATTTATTTTTAGTGGAGGTCCTGGGGATCGAACCCAGGACCTTGTGCATGCTATGCGTGCACTCTACCACTGAGCTATACCCTCCCCCTGCTTTGTTATTTTTAAAATAAGTCCTTGTTATAGCCCGAATAGTTCAAATAACATACCTAGAAATAAAAATGATAATATGTGTGTTTACCAAAAACAAAGCTGAGGTTTCCAGATAAAATGAGATTTTAGGATCACATTTTTTTTTTAATCCAGCTAGAGACTTTCTGGGAGAAAATTAATACAGATAGTTCTGTCGCACTGCTAGAGAGTGTATTTGCTGGGGAAAGCATGTCTGGGGAGAATTCATACACAGAACAGTAAGAAAAGGGCAAGTTATCGGGGGGAGGGTGTTGCTTAAGTGGTGGAGCGTGTGCTTAGCATGCACAAGGTCCTGGTTTCAATCCCCAGTACCTCCGTAAAAAAAACCAAACAAAACTTAAGTAAATAAGTAAACCTAATTCTCCTCCAGAAACAGAAAAGGACAAGTTTGCCTCTCTTCCAGAACATCTCAGTGTCCAAAGGCCCCAGTTAGTTGTCCAGTGAGAAAGGTTACTGTCACTTCAGAAAGAATAATGAAAATAAAATTCACAGAAAACACAATTAAAACATAGACCAGTATTTTCACTAAAACTTCCTGAATTCTCCTTAAACAGTTATTGCATTCTCCGAAATGTATCATTGATCTGAAAATAAGATACTCACCTGACTTAGCTGAAAGGGAGTTTTCATCGTCTCTCTTTCCTGGAATTTGTTTCGCCATTGTCCCTTGAAATATATGGCATTCACCAGGACCATGACACAAGAAGGGTCAATCGTGCCCTTTCCAAAGAGGTTAGTGACTTTTCCTTATAATAATAATAAAAAAAGAATAGATAACGTATTTAAGGGATTTGAACTTATTAGTAACAGAGAGTATAAGAGTCATCAGAAATGCGGAACCTTGTTTTGAGGCTAATTATAAATTTGAGAAGCCAGAACAATGCCTTCATCTGTGGCCATAAAGCCTGAAGTTTATTTCAAAGAATATTCAATACTTTGTTCCTTCTAATCAGAAGATGGCACCCAAGGACTAGCTCGCCTTACACCTGGTTGTAGCCAATGCTTTCTTGCACACTGCTGCATTTTTAGAAAGTCCTTTAATAATTTCTTGTGGCTTTGATATTTATCAGGCTTTATACTTACCAAGACCTCACCACGTGCAAATATGTTACGCATTTCAAAGAGTCACTCCTCCTCTAAGTATGCTAACATGAGTCTGTCCCAAGCATAGATGCCAACACTTGAAGTAAATCCGTATCTGAAAGTCAGGATTTTTGAAAGCAACCAGGAGTCGCTAGCCTTGTAAATATACTGATCAAAATTGAACACCAAGTCCTCTTGGTGCATTTTGGTGCATTGCAATTTATAAAAGTTTGGGGGCATAACCTGTCGTATAATATGAAACAGGTATCTGGAATATCAGAGTCCTAAGCTTGATGGGAGTTTGAATTTTTATTGAACTTTTCGGTCAAACACAATACCTAGCATGCAAAAACAATGTCTAACAGTGAATGCTCAATATATATGTATGTGTGTGCATATATTTGTGTATATATATATGTATCTTTGAATGAATGATAAAAAAATGCATAAATGAATGACAGTATCAGTAATAGTCTAAATAGATACACAGCATGTGGGTCCCTGATCCACGCCCATGACAGACACCACCAATCAATCTATTCATTTATGCTAAAAAATTTTAAGCGACTTTTGTGTACCAGGCATGATTCTAGGCACCGGAGCACTAAATTGAAGCTAGAACACTAAGCTAACGAGACCCCGCCCACCTTCTTCCTTAGCGTGTTAACTCAGTTTATCAACACACTTCAAATGAAGTCTGGAGACACACATGTGACCCATCCTTACCGTTAGTTTTATTTTCAACCCAAGCATTAATAGCCTTCCTCGTTTCCTCTGCAGACCGTTCAAAGTCAACCGTTTGCAGCCTGGCTTGATACAGTTTCTCAGAACAGTGTAAGTATTGCTGTAAGAAAGAGGACAATTGCACAACAACACAAAAATAGTGTAAGGAAAGCCCAAACCCACAGCTTGACGTATTCTGAATTCACAGCAGGCAGACAAAAACAGCAGGCAGTGTGAAATGCAGAGGATGCCAAGAAACCTGCGGCCACTATTCCAAATGGACTGACCTGGTGGAACGCCATCGCCTTGGTCCCGTAGAGTCTGCTGGCGATGCTGAGGGTGTAGTTAGAGTCTGGCCGGTTGATCTGAGAGAACAGAACTCCAAACTCTGAATGAATCTTTCCAGTTTGGCTGCACTGAAGCACCAGGAAACAGTGAATGGAGTATTAAATTGCTTGATTCATTGCCATTGGAGAGTTATAAATAATGTGAACACTAGACAGCCTGGTGTTGGCCTCTGAACAAAAGGGCAGCAGATACTGACAGACAAGGACTTGGCGAGCTTATAGCATTTTTCCTTCTCTAGCTTTCCCCTCGCCCAATAATCTCAGCACCTGGGGACTTCGGTTACAGACTGTGGGCAGAATTGTAAACCACTGCAAAGCATGTGTGTGTCGGCCCCAATGGTTTACGCCAAGAGCAAAAGCTTTTACAAATGAAGGGATCCTCGTGGGGAATAGTCAGGGCGATAATCCAAGCTTTATCGTTGCCTTTGTGCCTGAAGAATCGTCTGTCTTCTCCATCACGCTCCTTGCAACGTCTCCGTTTTCTGTGTGATCATTCACTCACTCAGCTCTTCCCTGAACTGACCTCACACACCCATGTGTCCCTCACAGGAGCAGTTTGGTGAAGCGTGCAGCTTTGATGCATCTGAACTCATGGACATTATAGGTGTGATGCCTGTATTCCCTAAAGCAAATGTTCCCAGACCACAGACTTTCATCTCCTAAGGCGGGTTCTGTGAAGTAAGTATTCTGTGTCTGTATGCATTTCTGTCCTTTCTCAATCTGTCCCTCTCAAACGCACAACTATTTTTACAGGGGGGTTCTATTTAATTTGGTGTCAAAAGGAATCCTTTTATTAGAACTGGGACCCCAGTCCCAGAGCACATGGGTGGGGTGGCATCAGGCCCTATTCTCCAGGTAGGTAAGTAAAAGGCAAAGCATCGGGGTCCTTTCTCAGTCCCTCCACGGGCCTGCAGGAGTCTGGCAGACCCACCACGGGGCACAGTCCATAAAGAACGGACAGGTCTGAGTAAGGGTGGCAGTAACGGTGTGCTGAAATCTGGGGGCTCCACTACCGTTGTTGTCTTTGTGTTACAGTCTCTTGGCCATAGCCATCCTCAGGGAGATGAAAGGAGCGGACCCACGGAGACGTCGCTAGCTCTCTTGCGGGCCTGAGAAGGGGCTCTGCCTCTCCCCCCCGGAATGTATTACTTCTCGGGGCTCTTCACTTAAAGAGCATTTGAAAGCTCAGCAGTGATATTGCCATACCTTAGCTGAGTCCTTGAATTCTGGTCCTAAAGATTCTTCAATATGATTAAAATGAAGCACCTAGAAAAAAAGGGGGGATGGTTTGGCATCAAAAGCCCCATATGGTCTATAAAGGTTAACAGCTAGAAGCATCTCTTTTTCCCTTAATCCTCTCAACAACTTTTATCAGTAGAGACTGTTATCCCCATTTTCTGTTAGGGAAACTGAGCTCACGAGATTAGGGGACTTGCCCCCAGACTGCAGTCAGTCAGGCCCCCGGCACCGAGCTCTTGTCCACCAGGCTCCTCTAACCCTGTCACTCTTCTCAGGCCATCACTGTGACGGTGCCCATCGGGCTTGTGTAAACCATTGCATGGTTTCCCCGAACAATACCTATTTTAAATGCAAGAACTCATGAAAGTGCATCAGAATATGGAATAAAGAAATAAAAGACAAACAATAATAAGACGTTCAAGTATCCTGGGGCTGTTAAGTGACATTCTTCTAGACTTCCCACAGCAAATAAAGCTCCACGGCAGGAAAAACCACCACACATCAGCCTACGTAACCTGAAAAGTCACTCTTTCTCTTTTAGTCTCAGTTTCCTCATCTGTAAAATGGGGATAACAATTCCTGCCCCTGCTACACAGGGTTGTCACGAACTCCAAATGTATTACTGAGTACTCTTAAAAACTTGTAACTTTTAAAGTGTCATTAAGTTTTATTGTAAGTTAAAATTGTAGAGGGCAGGAGTAATACCATACATGTTCAAATCACTAAAAGAATAAAACTCTGAAAGTAAACTGTAGACATTTATGTGTGAAACCACTGTCAGTAAGGAAGAGATTAGGAATAGCATGTATTGTGTTATTTGCATTGTAATGTATTGCATTATTTAAGTCATCATTCATAAGAAATAAATTTTGCTCAAATGTGTTCCTTCTTGCAGGAGATGGCAGTTTTCCTGGTATGAGGATAGAGCTAATCTGGCTGACTCAGAGCGTGTGCAGGTGAGACTTCCAGGCTGCAAGGAATTTTTTGCTGCATGCACACCTTTTCCATCTGCCTCGCGCTGTTTCCTCTGGCTCCAAGGAGGATCATACTTAGAGCATAAAGCAGACTCAGCGGGGAAAAGAAGATGTTGTCTCCTGCATTGTTACTGTTCAGCTCTTTGAACACATCAAGGCAAAATTCAGTGTTTGCTGTGCTGAGGGAATCCATTCTTGCCAAGCGCTACCTGAGAACAGAAGGGAGAAAGGCTCAGACGATCGCCTGGAGGTACAGATAATATCTAGCATTCAGTTACTACATTTCATGAATTCAGTAGCCTGAGCACCCTGCTTCATGAAAAGTCGTAGCCTGTTGTCACCATTTCTGAGAAAGCAGTAAATGCCAAAGGGGGGCATTTAGTACTTTTAGATTGTAATGAAGAGAAGATTCACTATTCCTTCCAACCACTAGTGCAAAGCTGTCTCACCAACGTTGGGGTACGTTTAAAAGTGTTCTGTCATTGTTCTGGGGCCAAAGAGCAGAAGGAATTGGATCTTTTTGCTCTTAATTTCCATGCTTTAAGACGCTCCTCAACCTGGAATTTGCACAGAAAAATCCTTGAGCTACAGAAGCTCAGCCAAAAGAGATGCTTTCCTGCTAGGCAGCCCACCTGCACAGTCTCCACCCTGGTCACTCTCACACAAACAAGGAGACAGTCAACAGAACAACCGTGGGCAACGTTCTCTGCACCTTTATCTCCTTGGTGGGACCTCATTTCCTGCGCCCTCCGTGAAAGCAAGGTGATACTAGCAAATAGGTCATGCCATCAGAAGGCGGTCAAGCCCCTCAGCCCAGCATAATGTCAATGAAAATGGAGGAATAGAGGAGAAAGAATTGAGAGGGAAGACGACTAGGCTGGAGTGTGTGTTACCTGAGGACAGTAGCGGGTCAGGAAGTGTTCATTGGCTCAGCCCCCCAAGCACCTGCTGAGCACTGCTAAGTGTGTGGGCTGTGGATACAAAAGTAATTCCGCATCGTTCTTGCCTTCCGGGATGTTTCACTTTCCAGGACCCTCCAGTTGCCAGTGAACACTCTTTTCCTTTAACTTCTGGGTCGTCATTGTCTCTTGCTTCCCACCTGCAGTGGAGCCACCCCTTCTGAGTCTGGTTTTACATGCTCTTTCTCACATTCTCAGCCTCGGTACAACTTCACACATCAGGATTCAAACCTTGGTCCTCGTCTCTGTTTTTGTTCCTATAGGTGATCTCTTCGACTCTTCGAGCTCTAAGTCACTGA